TCTATAAACATATGAAAATCTTGAAAATGTACGGTATAGATAATATGTTGTAAAATGCATTATTTATGAGACTTAAAATCTTTTTATTTTTCATGATCATACATCTCGATGTCGAGATGACCAATCAAAGGGATTTTCAACATTAAAATTACCTTTTCCGATGGATTTTTGATGTGCATCCATAGTTTTACATTATAAGGTTGCATCCTTATATAAACTTTTTCCATCAAAAAATGTTTAAAAACTCTTATGCCAGATCGGCTTCTTGTGATACAATATGAATCGGATTGGCTTTTGATTTGTATCTAATCCGGCTTCTTGCGCTACAGTATGCGTCAAATTGGCTTTTGATCCGTGTCGGTGCCTATCCAACACACATTATTGCGGATTGATTCTAGAACCCATTGAAATCGGTCCGACTCACATTGTGCTAAAATGGCTCTTTTTTTTTTTCCCTTTGCCAATTTGAAACTGTGTTTAAAAACTCTGTTTAAATATTGATACTGCATTATAATTTTAATTATTTTACTGAAAATACATAATATTAAGAACTTGTCTCATAACTGATTGTTTGTTATTTATTACATTCATTTTATGGTCAAATAAATATTTAAAATATAACGTATTGCACTAACAAGTATTATGTTAGGCATTTAGTAAATTTTTATGAAAAATTTTGTCAAATAAAGACTTAATATCATAAAGTGAGTTATTTGTCAAAATCTTAATTTTCAAAAAAAAATATCCCAAAGTTTTTCCAATTAACAACTTTACAAGATGCTAACAAATAATTTATTAGCAAATAAAGACTTAACATAATCCCTCTCAAAATTTGTCCCAATGTTTTTTTATCTAGTAAAGCGGAAGAAATTGTCCCTTAAAATATAAAATACAATATAGGGTGGGCTCCCGCCTATCTTTCTAAAAAAAAGTTCTATCTTTTTAAAACAAAATTCTAGGCCGTCTATACAACAAGATTTAAAAAATCGTATGGGCATCTCAAATCGGTCACCGATACCCATGTTGGATCGGAAAATCGGTAGATTGGATCGAAAAATCGCTCGAATTGGCAATTTTTGTCTCAATTTTTTTAAAAAAAATCACTATAAATATCTAAAAATAGTATTCTTTTAATTTCTAAAATAAATTAGGAGTGATGCATTATGTACTTTCATTACTTTGTAAAACTAGGTGAATAATAAGACATTGTTTTTCTGTCTGGATGTCTCTATAATTATTAATTATAATACAATATTATAATATTGTATCAAAATAATTTAAAAATATTAGAAAAGACTTCCATATTATAAGATTAAAAAAATAATTTTTCATATAAAATGAAATTAGTATCACATCAAAGTACCAGTTATTTATTAATTGACTTTACTCATCCAAAATAATCACAACCTAACTAACTATATTATTATATACTGAAATTCTAATTGTAGGTTTATATTTTGCTAAACAAATAAAGATAAATCTAAAATTTATTATAAAAAAATATATTATATAATTTATAATACAAATAAAATAATAAATAAAATACAAAATTTGGTAATCAATGTATAATTGTTAATTATAATTTTGTAATAAACATGATTCAAAAAATTATTAGAAAACACTTCCATATCATATGATTAAAAATAAAATAAAGCTCCTTATAATTTTAATGTTATGACATTAATATATATATATATATATATATATATAAATTATGCTAAAAAATAAAAAATAAAGATATCAAAATAGTCACTTTGTGACCCAAATATTTATCTGAATTTTTGTTTAGACACCTCACTAGAATTCAGAGTGAATCACTATGATGACATCATTTGATCGGATACTATCCAAACAAATGATGTCATCATAACGATTAACTCCGAATTTTGATGCCATCATGGCGATTTACTCCAAATCATGATGTCATCACAACAACTCAGTGTAGAAAAGTGCTTGGATCCCCTTTTTTAAGTGGATCCAGGATGGTCTGATCAATACCCGATCCCGATTGGGCCAACGATTTTTAAAACATTGGTATATAAAAATTCCTCCATTCAAAACGTATTTAAAAACCGCAAATACAAAAAAAGTACAAAAATTCCTTCCATCAAACCGGTTCAGGATAGCCGGCCAATTCTACCAATGAGTCAGCCGGCTCTCGATATGTAGTGGAAACCGGACTGCTTCGTTGTAAACTATCCAAGCATGCCTTGTCTTATCTCGTTCCAATCCAAATTGACATGAACTAATGTTTATAAATTCTATGTTTAATCGCTTAGTGTGTATGGACCGGTTTTTTGTTCCTATTTAACTTAGTGTGGTACACATTATGCCGGATGGGCTTCATTATAAATAATGATAATACAATGTGTACTGGATTCACTCTTAGTTTATATCAAAGTGAGTGACAATATATGTCACATACGTTGTATAAGACATGCTTTTTTTTTTATCATAGAGAAAAGAGGTCCAAAATCATGGGTTATTGTACTATATACATAATACAGTACAAATGAGGAGGTGCCATTTGGTTCAAATGAAAGACTCTAAAAAGGCAAGTAAAATGCTAAAAAAGACAGTGATAGAAATAACGATAAAAGACATGATGACTTATGTTCTTATTGAATTTACGGCCCTCGATAGAGCTAAATGACATAATAGGATTCGAGTAACCAATCTCAAATAATTGAGATAAAATTATGATGATAATGACCAAGATTTTTTTGTCATAAAAAGAAAAAACTGCTTTTGGGTACAGGATGGATAGGGTCCATAGGCACCCTTCATTTTTGCAAAAATATTTCGGTTAAGGTTTTGCTGCCTTTGTTTGGACATGAAAAGATCCAATCAACTCAACGGCCTCTTATATTATGGTGTGGGCACGAACCACGTGCTTCTTCTTTTTTTTCTTTTTTTTCTTTTTTTTTTTAACTTTAACCTTGAGAGCAAACCGCGTGCTCCTGCGGGTCTATATAAGCAGAAGCATGGCGAATTCATTTCCGTCTCCTCCCTTATCGGACCGACTCGAGTCTCACTGCTCTGCAACTTTATCGGGTCCAATAGACGGTTCCGTACGTATACACGAACTCAAAGCTCTAATCTCTCTCATTATGCTGTAAATTTTGATCCATGAACTGCTTTCCACTCTCTTTTTTCCCTGGTTTTGACAGAAAAAGAATTCATGTTCTGTTTTTCAGATTTTGTTTTGGGGTTAAAATTTGTTTTTAAGAGAAATACGCTGAGTTTTTTTTTTCGATTTTTTGCTAGTTTTCTTTTGTTTCTTCTTATCTTAAAGTGAGTTTTCATCGAGTTGTGTCTCTGATGGTTGATTTTCATGGAGTTTTTCTTCGTGCTGCTTGATTTCAGTATTTCACCTGGTTTCTCACTTTTCAGAGCTTCTTCTGAATATTTTCCATGGCGATGTCTTTTTAAGTTTGTTTATACGGTTGAGCTTGAGATCAGCACCATTAACCAGTTGTTCTTCTCCTGCGAAGCTTTCGATTTTCATCAATGGAGTAAGGCCTTAAGCCTTAGGGTTTATACGCCGAATCTTTTTATTTTCTTACTTTACTGCTTCCATAATACTGTAATACACCTAAAATCTCGCCGGAGAATGCATAGACTCCATTTTCAGAATCTGATTTTGGTAATGTCGGTGAAGCAAAAGTATTTTCCAGCGCTGCCATTTTATAAATTGGCACCTCAAATTTCGCCTGAAAATTCTGCTCCGGTGCCGGAAACGCAGCTCAGTAAAGTCGGACGATTTTCAGGCTTTTTCGTGTTGGTTCATCGCCGGAGAATGCATAGACTCCATTTTCCGATTCAGATATTGGTAATATCGGTGAAGCAAAAGTATTTTCCAGTGCCGCAATTTCATAAATCGGCACCTCAATTTTTGTCGGAAAACTCAGTTCCGGTGCTGGAAACGCAGTTCAATGAAGTTGGGCGATTTTCAGGCATATTCGTGTTGCTTCATATCTTGCAAAACCGTTCTTTCCTTTTTTTTAATTTTTTTCCTGATTTTCTATTCTATGTATGTCTATTTTTTTGTAAAAAGGCATGCCATGGGTTCCATTTCTTATGAATAAATGCTAGTTAAAACCTTACATTATCTTTATTAGCATTTAATAGAGAGTATTACATCTCGACATATGAATCCATATATTCATTTTATAAATCACAAATTTATACCGTAGAAGCCCAAATAAAACTTTTTTTTTTTTATAAATCTCAAATATCCTTCCTGATTCAGGCTTTTTTTTTTTTTTTTCCTATTTTATATATATATATATATATATATGCCATACATATTTATACGGTAGAAGCTCAAATGCTGTTACCTGATTGCTGCAAAACCCTGAAAATACTGATACATTATTCCATCTTCCCTTTATTTTTTATGACACTTGTCCAAATTTGGTTTCATATTTATTTGTTAGCAAAACTCTGCCCGTCGAACTTGGAATTGGCCAATAAAATTCCCAAAAAAATAAGTGATTTATTTGTAATGTGTTTTTAAATATTGTTTATGTTTTTTGGCAAAATTGGAAAGTATTGAAGCCATGAATATTTATTTTTATATTTTTTTATTTTTTAAAAAAAATTAAAAAATATCACTAGACATAACTGAGTATTTTTAAATCTATTTTTTCACTAATTTTCAACTCCATTTGGATGTGCACTTTATAATCAAGCTTTAAATATATTTTTTATATTTTTTTGGATTTTTTGTATTTATCTTTTATTCTTTAACACTTTTTAGATGGTATGTGACTTGCCTGGGTAGGCCAATTGAACTGGCCTGCCTGTTTGCCGGTTCCTCGGACCCGGCCCTTACCTGGTTTTTTATGCTAGTTAATTTCTCAATCGATGCTTTTTTTTAAACAAAAAACATTTTTATAAGATATTTTTACAGGCTCCCTGTTAATTCTTCTAGATCTTACTATTTACCTGTAAAACGTCAAGAATCTTCACGTGATCTCAAATCTGTTTTGTTTCCAATGTTTACTTTTTTATTTATTTTATTAAACAATGATGTATGCGTAAAAGTCAAAAGCTATAAAGTATTTCAGCCTTTTCTTGATCGTTTTGAAGGAGAGCACATGGTCTTAATTCCTCATTTTCTGGTTCCTATTTATTATATCATGTATCTGCTTATTTTATATTTTTATAAAGATTAAACCTGCAACTTGTCTGCATTTTCAGAGAAAAAGCTAGATGCGTGTAAAGAACAGAGTGATAATCTGATTTCTTTTTCAGTGGGTCGGTTACAAAAGGTATCGGTAGCTTCTGGATTTGGTATGAAGTTTTTACATGGCCCAGGCTTTATGAAAACAAACTAGGGTGCCGTATGTATAAGGCTGAGGCTCTAAACAATCAAAGTAAAACACATCTTTAAACAATCATAGTAAAACACATCTTTAAAGAGTATCGAGAAATGTGGTTTCAATATAAAAAATCTTTATGAACGCCTTAAAATCTATTTTTATCTTTAATTATAACATGTAAAGCTTCAAAAATAGTATAGATTAAACAGATCTATGAAAAATTGAAAATCTTAAAAATTGATGGTGTAAAAATGCATTACAAGATATATTATTTTCAAAATTTGAAATCCATTTTTTTTCTCATGTCCATGCATCTTGATGTCGAGATGATCAATTTAAAGATATTTGATCATTAAAACAACCTATTCTAATGAAATTTTTAAGGTGGGCTTTAATTTGATTGTTTAAAGTATATGCTCTATATAAACCTTTTCCAACAACATAAAACCTCACCTCGTGTGTTTTTTTTCTTTTTTTTAATGAAAACGTAATAAAGCCTCACCTCATGTCCTGTCTAAAAAGCACTTTGGGCATAAAAACTTTTCATGATATCTTTAAAATCATTTTTTCACACTAACAAAAAAAAAATTGAAATTAAAAAATAGTGAACATTATTTTAGTCTAGATGATTTGTTGTATACATTATTATTAAAACTTAAAATCTTAATTTTTTTCCACAATCATAATATTATCGATTCAAAGGTTTTTCTACACTTAAATTGCAATTTTTGATGAGTTATAAGGCAATACTTTACTTATTTTAATAGGCTGCACCCTTATCAAACTATCACCTCAAATTTTTGTCCAGAAAGCAATCGGCAATGGAATCTCGATGGCTCTAAAATCAATTTTCAACACCAAAATTAAATTTTGAAACTCAAAAAATGGTACAATCTTATGGATATTTCCATTCTTATTTTTAACGCAAAATGAGGAGCCTTGATAATTTGTTAAAATATATATTATTTTTAGTGCTCGAAATCTTAATTTTTTTTACAACCATAATATTCAAGTCGAAATGATCCATTTAAAGGTTTTCTAATGCTTGAATTGTAATTTTGATAAATTATAAGGTGTGGCGATACTTATTTTGATTGGGTCGCAGCCTTATTAAATCATTTTTCTTTATATATTACCACTTATTTTATATTTGTTAGTGTATACAATGAGATCATTCTTTTGCTACACAGAGATCACAAATACAACTGTGGGAGGTAAAATTTAGTAGCTTTGATTTGTCACAAAATTCAAAAAAATTTCTAATGAATTTTGGAATAAATGCCGTCACACAATTCCAAAGATCAATTGTGACGACTGTGAAAGATAGATTGTCCCAATTGATTTCAAAGATCAATTGTGACGACTGTAAAAGGTAGATAGTCCCAATTTCACATCTAATGGTGAAGCCGGCAGCTTTATGCATTTTCGAGAAAAAAAAGTCGACGCGTGTAAAGAACAGAGAGTGAATTTTGTTTTCTGGTACAAAAGGTTTCAGTAACTTCTGGATTTCGTATGCTTTCAAAAGAGAGCCTAGAGCTTCTTTTATTTTTTTTTATGTTTTTATGTTTTATTTTTTATTGTTGCTATAAATAGAGCTTCAAGCTTTAGCGTGTGTTTCCATGGTGAAGTGATCAAAGTATTAAGATACTCTGTATTTTTTATAATTTTTTTCAGGTGAGAAAATGATTTTTACCCCTTTTCCTGGTGTGCTAAAATCCCAAGTCCAGAAGCTATTAGCCAGGATTTAAATTTAGTGCTAGTGTACAGTTCACGTCTGGTGTACAGTGCGCTGCATGAACACCACCGTCTGTTCACAGGAACGGACGGTGGAGATTTACTCTCATTCTCGATGACAGGTGTTAAGCGGAAGAGCCTCTAAGCTCTGCACGCCCCATTTGTCGCGGATGGTGGATGCGCTTGTTTACGGTGAACTGTACACAGCTGCCGTATGCTATATATAATCCTAAATTGAATTTGTTTGGAAACCCTTCGTTTTTTTTTTCTAAATCTTTTTTCCTGAATTTTTCTTTTTTTTCTGGGAATTTTAAATTTTTTATTGTACTTTTTTTTTTATTATCTGATTTTCCATTGTATTGGCATGAAGGTCTAGATAAAATGGGGGACTACGGGGAAGCTCTGTTGAATACGAAGGTTCACCATGAGAACTGCCCGGGATGTAGAGTGAACAGGATTAAGGAAGCTGAAAGAGGAACCCCTTTCCTAAATGTGTTTTCCATTTGGGCAGTTATTCTTTGTAGCTGTAAGTCTCTCTCTGTCTCTCTTCATGAAGGGTTCTCCTCTCTCTGTTAATTTTGAATTGCTAATACCACTCCATTGCTCTTTCTCTCTCTTCATATGAAGGTTTATTCCCTGTCTCTGTCTCTGTGTCTGGTAATTATTCTTTTTGGACAAGAAGCATTTAAATTTGGATTTCTTACAATTGTTTGTGGTGGTTCACCTTTTCCAGCGCTACCAATATCGTTGCTATTCCCATTCCTATACTTCATGGTATGTAAGTTGCTCTCTGAAAACTTTTTATGGGTTTGTTTTCCTATTTGTGTACTTTATTAATGGGACTGTAAAAAATGAGACCACAATAATTCGTCCATGGTAGGGGTTGCAATGGACCCGGACCGGACGTCTAGACCCGACCTAGATCCAGGCCTGGGTATGGGTCCAAAAATTGGAGCCGACAGGTCGGGTCTAGGACCGGGTCCAAATCTTGCACCCCGAATACTATTCAGGTCTGGGTTTGGATCTGGAACCACATTATATTTTCGGGTCCGGGCCGGATCTTGGTCCGGGTTTGGTGACTTCTGGTCTTGGTCTGGCCGGACCCGGACCCAGATCCGGACACGACCTGCTCTTTTGCCACCCCCAGTATCACTAGTGGTAATACTCAAAAGCCGCCACGTGAACTTGGATGGTTGGGATATGAGGAAAATTTTATAGGTGTGATACACCCTTGGCAACGTGACTTTACATTTGACTACTAAAGTTGATCGTGACATTCTATGAGCTAGAGATACATTCTTCTTATATGCTTTCCAATTTCACAATTTGGTTACTGTAACCAATGTTTGCAAAACCGGCCCATCTAACTTCTAACCGGTCAGTTAGATCGGAAGTCCTTTATTACTTGACACCCACTAACCTTATGCCTATTTACTTGCCTAGTGACACCCACTAACCATATGCCAAGTATTACTAGACCCACTAACCATATGCAAGGTTAAAAAATATTTACTTGCCTAGTGACACCCACTAACCATATGCCAGTTATTACTGGACCCACTAACCATATGCAACTAAAAATAAGATTTAAGATTTCGTTGGTTCAAAAATATTTACTTGCCTAGAATCCTCTTTGAATGAAGTCCTTTATTACTTGACACCCACTAACCATATGCCATTTATTACTAGACCCACTAACTATATGCAACTAAAAATAAGAGCTTATGTTATATATAACATAATTATTTCTTCATTTTCTTTAAAAAAAAAAAAGATCATTGTCATAAAAAAGATTTTTTTTAAAAAAAAAAGATCAGAAAATATCATTTTCTTTAAAAGAAACTATCATTTTCTTAAAAAAAAAAAAGATCATTTTCTTTTAAAAAAAGTGTTTGTCAAGTCGATTTTTTTAACACTATTTTAATGTTCTTTACATTATGGTAAAGATTAAAAAATATTTTGGTCATTGATACTCACTTTTATATTTTCCTATCTTTTCAGAAAATTTTAAAAATACCCCTAGGCACAAATCAACTAGTTAAAATCCATTTTTTCATTAATTTTCAACTTTATTTGAGTGTGTTTTGTTTTAATCACATTCTTTATATGCTTATTTTAGTAGATTTGTTTTGTATCTTTTTTTGACATCGGAGACTTGCCCAGTTAGAGCGGTTGAATCTACCGGTTTACCGGTTAGGCTCAGTTAAATCGCTTCCATGCCCATGTCCGGTTAACCGTTCCGGTTCGATTTTGCAAACACTGCTTTAGACTACACACTCTAACAATGAAATCAGACTTTCGCACTACAAATTTTTCACAACTACACACTCTAACAATGAAATCAGAGTTTCGCACTACAAAAAAAAAAATTTCACTGTAAGACACCCTTGTATCTGGAAAAATGACTTTTGACTATAAATTGTTGATGTAATTGTTAAGCACATATTTGAAATTTTGAAATCCTTCCAAAATCAATTTTAAATTAATAAAGATTCCGACTTTTTTAATCATGTTTGATGTTGGAGGTGATTTAAAATCGTAAATAAATATGCCTTTTAAAATTTTTAAACAAGTTGTTGCTAACATAATTTTCCGTTTTGTAAGTGTATTATATGGTCATATAATTCGGAAACATGAAATTCTAGAGGTCACTATTAGAGTGATGTACCTTAGAATAACCCTTTAAAGTTTCATGGTTTAGCCATATATGGATATGTATGTACTTCCATGCTCCTAGTTTTTGTATTAGATGCTTTAGAGAAAAGGTTTTTACTCATGGAGGAAGTGTATGCTTTAGATGTACAATTCATACGCCTTGATGTAGCTGTATGATTGATGCAAGAGAATTTGAGGGAAACAAGAGCGAAACAATAAAAACAGCAAGGAGCAAAGCCAAATACAAGCATAATTCAAAAAAATCTAGAGTTTATTCTCCATACCCTAAGCTAGGGTTCCAAAAGCTTGAGCTTTTAACTCCTTTAATTACTAAAAATCATGTGGAATTGTCCTCTCAAGGCCCCACATGTAGGGTTCTCTAGAACCCAAAGCTTGCAGAATTGAGAATTCCAAACGCCGGGATCCCACCCAAGATTGTGTACATGATTGGCTAAATGAGAAGTAGATGAATACACTTTCCTATCTTGTTTGAATTTTGTTTCTATTAAATACAACTATAAATCGAGTGCAAGAAATAAAATAAACATAAAAATCAGACCACAACACATGATTTACGTGGTTCACTTCGTAGGGCTACTTCCATGACCTTGACAAGTAGAAATCCACTATCACTGCGAAGATTACAGTTTGGGTTACAAGAGATATACCTCTCTTTAAACATCTGTAAAACCTCCTCACCGATCTTCCCTTCTAAAGCAGATCGAGCAACACCGTTGATCAATATCTTCTTTCCTATTGCAATACTGTTATCGGAAAGATAACTTCAAGAGAAACCGAGAAACTTTATCTCTCTGGAAGTGGAAATTATATCAACCCAAAACTTCATGGCAATACTCCCTCTCTCGGAGGCTATGTCTCTCGCTTTCTTGGAGACCCATCTCCACCTTAGAGATCACTTCGCATACATAGCCCCAAAAGGGTGACCCTCAACAGGATGGTATTGTGTCTTTCTTGATTCTCTTTTGTAGACATCACCTTGAGCTTCTTTCTTGCTCCCAAAGAAACCTCTTTTCTTTTCCTTTTTTTTTATCATAATACTCTTTATCTTCTAATAAAAACATAGGTATGGTGATTTTGACTATCACCAAACCTAACACCGCATAGCTCTTATATATTATAATTTAATATTCATAGACATTACATGTCCATACAATGATTAAAATAAACTATATATCTTAACTTTAACTTAAATTATATAATGACAATTTACCTCGTGAACAGCACTCGTGAATAGTTTTTGTGAATAGTACTTATGGATAGTACTCGTGAAATAAATAAAAAAACAATAAAAATCCTAGAATTCCTAAAAAACTAAAAATCCTAAAACTAAAATAAAAATATACTTCCTTTAAAATTGAATCAAAATTAAAAATAAATATAATTTTGCCCTCCATCAATGATATTGCAAACAATGGCTATTGTGCATGGTAACCTTGACATTAAGATGCCATGTTGGTTTTAGCCACATATTTAGTCAATATTTATGTCTGAGTGCATAGTGCCAAACACTGTGCATTCATTTCATTTTCATTAACTACCTACTCCCATCTGAAATGCTTGATGATAAGTATTCTATTCATGCGTGGATGACTGGACTGAAAGCCCAGTGTTTGGCACTACGAAAGTTTTAAGGGAACTATTGGTTGTGTGCATAGACAAACATGGTTTTTGTGCCATATGCTGTGTCTTGTTCTGATGCATGTTCTGCTGGGGAATGATGTGTGTGGAGCAACAAATTAAGTTTGTGCGTGAAAATAAAAAAGACCAAACATGCATACTTTTATTCCAGAAATTTAACAATAACAAATACTATTTCATGAATGCTTCCTTAATGGATTTTATTCAAAAGGCTCATAAATGCCATTCTTTCTAAAAATTTATGGTTCACAAGAATTACCAAAAATTAGGTACAACAAGATGCATTTCATAAGTAATAATATATACAACTTTACTCAAAAACCACCATGACACTTTCTTGAGTATGCAAGTTACAGCTATTCTCTCTTTGAAAGATTAGTTCACTGGTAATTTTGATCCATTATCCTCTTATGTTTCTGATCTGTGCAGGTAAGAGATTTCCATATCACAGAACAAGTGGAAGATATCGGATTTTATGCTGGTTTTGTGGGTACGTATTCTCTAAAAACTCGTATGAGCCTGATCAAGGAAACAAAAGTCCACCACATGATCTTATTATAGTTTGTCTAGCCCACTAGATGATCTTATTATAATTTGTCTAGTCTTCTGTTTTTACGAAAACTGTAGTAGTTTCAATATTAATTGTTGGCATATGATTCTGATCAATTCATTCTCTCTCTGTAGGTTCATCATTTATGGTTGGAAGATTTTTGACTTCATACCTTTGGGGAATGGCGGCTGATCGATATGGAAGAAAACCTGTGATATTATGCGGAGTTGGCTCAATGTTAGTGAAGATGATCCTTTTGTGCTCTGTATATTTTCCCCCATTTGTTGCTACATATTTTAACTTTCAGAAATCAAAAGATGGCTAAACAGCATTAACAAGGAGTTGATGATTGTATGTTTTGCTTTGAACTAACCGTGAAACAAATACCTGTTCCAGAGTATTATTCAATGGGCTTTTTGGGCTTAGCAACAGCTTCTGGATGGCAGTTATCACGAGATTCATTCTCGGATGTTTCAATGGGTTGCTTGGGACAATTAAGGTATATAAAAGTTTAAGATCTGGTTTCCATGATACTCCTAGAATTTTGTTTAAAATGTCCTTAATTGGCACTGATCCATTCAAGCAATTTTATCTGTTAGTATTGAGTTTATGTCGAATGTGTTCTTTGAAATTGCATGTAATGCTTGTCTTAGTTCTTATACACTTTTCTAGTTACTCCTATGAGTTTATGCTTTTTTTGACTTAATTGTAATAAACTCTATCCAGGCCTACGCATCAGAACTTTTCCGAGAAGATCATCAAGCTTTGGCAATGTCTGTTGTATGTATCTGGATTTCGTATTGTTTGCCTTAGTTATATTCTGTAGACCATTACTTGAAGAGGTGAATTCTCATCAGAAATTTTTATTTTCAGGTGGGTACATCGTGGGGTATAGGTCTAATTATTGGCCCAGCAATAGGAGGATATTTGGCTCAGGTACTTCTAATACTGCCCTTGCAGCACATGTTTACTGGTCTCTATGACATTTTGAAACAGATTAATCAATTCTTCTTTCTCATGCTTTGAGTGATTAGAAATAGTTTTTTTTTAGCTTCTCATTATATTTTAGTAGTTTTTGATAGTTTCTGCTTGTTTAATTTGCTTTTGAAGTAAGAAACATGTTGGTTTTATAAATTGAAATGAATATTTTGTTCGTAAGTGGCATCAATTTAGTGTCATGAATTGAAATTGTTCTCTTTGCATCATCTCTATGTGTCTGCTAATTGACGTCTGTGTTTCCGGAAAAAATATCAGCCTGCAGAGAAATATCCCAATACATTTTCCAAAGATTCATTATTTGGGAGGTATGGAATTTCTCTCTTCTTTGGACTCTCTCTCTCTCTTCCCATGCCCCCCCTCCCGCTCTCTCTCCTGATACACACACACATACACATTCCATATCATATATATATTTTGAGTTCTTAGATGTTTTTTGTTTTACAGGTTTCCATACTTCTTACCCTGCCTATGCATATCGGTCTTTGCATTTGTTGTGTTTATTGCTTCCTTTTGGCTGCCAGTATGTTTTCTCATCCCTCATTCTTTCGATATAAATCTTTTAGTTAATTTTGGCACTTTGTGATTTTAGCGTTGCTCTTTTCTTGATCAGGTTCCGTTTATACCCATCCTCTCTTTAATTACACTAATCTTATTGGATTTTGAAAATAATAAGAGGAATGCATGTTCTTTATGAGATTAGGGAAAATTGCGCCAATAGATATTGTTTCATAGATTCTCAAAAGATTCAATTTCTGGTAGAGCCAAATATTAAGACAAAAGGAAAAAGCCTAAATGCCCTCTGAGAAGTCTATGAATCACAAACCAGAGTAATGAGCAGGAGTTTGTTAACAAAGGCCTAGTGATGAGTTTCTGTATGGTGAATTTGTCGAAAATCTTCAAGGTGAAGGAAACTTGTCGGATACCAATAATTTGGTCACATAATTCTCTTGGACGAATTTGAAACAAACTTTGATGTGTTTTTATGTGCTTGTTAACCTCAATATTGCTCGATTTTGATTGGCACTCTTATTATCACAATGAGGAGCTTTAAGCCACATGAGCAGGAAACCCGAAATATATAAGATTGATTGAAAAATGAATTGTGATTGTCCTTCTCCAAGTTTACTTCCTTGTTTCTCATTGTAAGAGGTACTAAACAATTATTTCATACATCTTGTCTTATCAACATTTGGGTGTTGGTTAGGTTTATATTCTGAACTGAACGAATTGGGATTTACTTTCTCCATTTAGGCCTTAGGTTAAATCTTGGTCTATTTGGAGTGTTAATATCCTTCTATTCTGTTTACAACTCGATGTTTTTCTTCTTTTCTTTTGTCAAGTAGCTGTAAATGATGCTTTTGATATGATATATAGCATTACCAATATTAGATTTGACTAAATTTCAAATGGCTAGTTAATATTTTGAAGCTAATGGATTGTTGTTGTAGGAGACAATACATAAACATCCTTTGGAGGAGATAGAGAAAGGATTCGACACATCTGATGATCTAGAGGCTTCTGATACAGAAACAAAGAAAAAAAGGATTTCAACTTCTCGAATGTCTCTCTTCAAAAATTGGTCCCTGATGTCCACTGTTATTATATATGGTTTTTATTCACTTCATGAGATATCATACACTGAGGTTGGTCTTCTCACAAAGATTTCATCTGCTCGTTATTTCTTAGTGAAATTTTTACATGTCAAAGATGATTCATGAGCTTCTCTTTGGTGAGGTTGATTCATTTGTATTGTTATTTACTGCATACCAAGTTGATATCTAGTGATTTGTGTCCTCGTAATTCTTTTTTTGAAGTGAATGAAGTACATAATGTATTTTTTTTTCGAAGTGAAATTAATGTTCTTTCTTATGCAGATTGATGCTGCAGTTATTTAGTAATTTGGAAATGGAAGAAAAGACAACCTTAAACCGCTTTCTCTTTTTGTCTTGTTTTTGTATTTGGATCTTTACACCTATCTAGACAGCCTGAAAGTTATTTCGTTTGAAGATTTTCATTATGAACTAGGCATGGATTTCGTTGCAGCACACAAATAAAATTCTGCAAATAAAAGGGCTAGGTGAATTTTCTTTGAGAATTGAATGCCCCTTGCTTGAATCTTTTTATGACCATGCCAAGGAAATAATGTGTATGCTTGGATCGTGTAAATCAGAATCCTTCTTCAAGTGCATCATAAGCTCTATCATGGAGTCTACTGTAAGTCTGTAACAATACATCTCAATCTCTCTAGAGGACGATAACTTTGGATCCTCGCTTGTTTTATAAAGGAGTTGTCAGCAACACTTTTGGTAGAGTAAAGGCATGTTTGACGTGAAGTTCAAATTTTACACCATTCACTCAGAGGTGGTGTTAGACAAAGTGTTATATTTCTTGTCTTGGACACTGGCTTTTTCTCCCCTTGATTTAGAACTCCATATAAGTGTATCTTTTATTTTCTCTCCATATATACTAAATATGCGCAATGACAAGAATGCTGCAATACATACAAATTGAGCCACTAATAACGTGGGACTAAAATTGAATAAGACAAGGTTATAATGACATAAGTTCCCCTTCCATTGTTAGGCATGTATGGTCCATAGAAAAGTCTAATACTTCACTTCTTGCACCTACAATAGTTTGCAAACTTCAAATACTTTTGTAGCCAGTAAGCAATGCAAGGTGTGTAGATCAACAGATGAAACGGTTTTATCCCGTTCTGGTCTTGGATCGAAGTACTAATTTAACTGGAAGGTGTGCTTCTCTTTCAATTGCAGGTGCTTGAACCACTCAGAGAGATGTAATCCTAATTCACATCAATTCTCTTAGAAAAGTGACAGAGATTACAAGAGTGGATTTTATTGTAAATCTTCTATTTAGAACCGCAGAATTTACATTTGGCCAATTTGTAGCTGGATGGTTCAGGATAGTGGTAACCAAGATGAATCCCGATGATCGTATCTCAGCTAAATCCCAAAAGACAAAATTGATGGCTGCAATGGGATTCTTAGAATTATTAGCATTCATTGCTTTACAAAGTCATGGACATTTTCACAATACTTTCCACCAACTTGAATCTTTTGAGGCCAAACTTTTATTTCTGTCCTCGTTCCAACATGCAACTATAGTTGATATGTATGGCTTTGGACTTCTGAACTGCAATTATATTGACACTTTCAGTAGTTCCATCATTCAATTGTCTCAGTTGATATGACTGTGACCTTTTTTATTTTTTAATTTGGAAATTTTATAATCGTGTGTTTATATAGTAACTGCCATTAAAAGTAAACATCTTTTCTTTTCATGGTTCAATAACCAATATATCATTTGTAGATATTTTCTCTTTGGGCTAACAGCCCTCGAAGCCTTGGTGGGTTGGGATTTTCCTCAGAGGATGTTGGTCAGGTGCTTGCAATTTCAGGTATGTGTGCATGTTGTGCTTTCTTAGTGGTTTTTTCTTCTTCTTCCTCTTTTTCTTATTTTTATTTTTTATTTTGTCTCTTTTTTGCACGAGTACTTAAGAAGCATACATAGGGAATACAGTTATTGAGTTCTTGAATATTAACTTGTTATTCTTCACTTCATAACTGCATCATGTGCATTGGTATTTTAGCTGCTAGAATTTCCATGTCTGCTGGATTGTATTTCGGCAAGTCTTATTTAATCAATGAACTTTTATTTGTAAAGAATGTGATGAGATTTTCCAATAACCATCTGAGGTATAGCAATAATATTTTCTATGATTTATTCATTTCAAAGGATAAGGTGTAGGTGAAAATTCATTTGTTAGTCCTCCATTAATCAATCTACCCTCTCAAATGAGTAATCTAGAACAGACAGTACACTTCAAACACAGCAGACATCACTAGAAAAAGAAGCACCTTAGACCAACCTCAGATATTGGGGTTTTATCATCTTTCAGTTTAACCTTTCATAAAGAGAAGAGCATTGAAAGTTAAGCACACTTAACAATTAACCATATTTTTCATATGCATCTGTTTTGTTGGTTGTGAAAAGGTTTCTCTCTCTCTTATAGTGCTTGGTCTCTGTCACACTTGTTGTAGGCTTTCACCAATTCTCAATGAAATCTTCTCAAACTTACCTCTCTCAATTACCTTCTGTTATGCTGCGTATATGTTATCTGAATTGACTGATTATTTTTATATTGTTAGGTTTTATCTTACTGTTCTCACAACTCTGTATATTTCCAAAGCTTGAGAAGCTCTTTGGACCAATTCATGTCGCACGCCTTGCGTCGGTATATGTTTCCATGTTTTGGATGTTTTCCTTTTCTTTTTTATTTAGTTGGAAGTGTAAAAATGAAATTTAAGTAATGACCTCTGTGGCTTATTTTAAAATTCTTGCCCCTGAAATTTTGAGCTTCCTTTTTTTTGCAGGCTCTTACCATACCATTGCTCATGTGCTACCCATTGATCGCAATGCTCACTGGTTTCACTCTGAAATTTGTGATTAATGTTGCATCCTTGTTGAAGAATGCCCTCTCTGTAAGCCCTAGATACGTAGTTCTTATTTTAATTAACAAGAATATGTTTTAACAAGTTTTGACTTCCGGGGACTAAAGTAGTCCTATCTCCAGAAACTAAAGGTTTCTTTAAAAATGCAAAGTCTGGTAGCTAAAAAAACTCAAAATGGAACCATATGGGTGTTGTACTTCATTAAAAAAAAAAAAACTACGCCAACTCACATCAATTTGAAACCCGAAAACTAGGTTTCACGTGAAAAAAGGGCATATTTTTCCTCAAACATCTATCATAATTGCTTGAAAACAAAGCCATTGGAAAGTTGAAATATGGGGGATTTATTATATGACAAAGTCAGGTCTGTTGGGTAGTCTATGAGGTACAAAAGATGAAATGGGCATGACTAAAATAGGACTAATGGGCATAATAAAATATGTTATATAATATTTTATACATTTCTTGGGGAATAACACCATTTAGTAGCAGTTTGCTGTGTATAATTGGGGAATAACACCATTTAGCAGCGGTTTGCTCGCTTCCTCTATAAGGTTATCCCTCGAAGAAAATATTCTCAATGGGGTAGATCATTCATGATTTCTATATCTATTAGATGCACTTTAGTTTCTTAGTTGAATATTGTTTTTAATGATGTTTGAGAAAGAAGGCATAGTGCAACTTTTAATCATCATTTTCTTGTTGGGTTTGTGGTTTTTCAAGCCTGTCTTTGAATGATTCTTTGCTTATTAGATTTCCTTTATGTTTTTGTTGCTAATGTTGTCCTTCATCTATCTCGTAGCTTACGATTGTCACTGGGATAGCCATTCTGCAAAACAATTCTGTGGTATTTTTCTCACTTTATTCATGTATTCTATTTGACTTCCTTGTGCATATCTAGTTCAGTTATTATTTGAAAGTTTTACCAAATTCAAACCTCGCTATGACTGCTATTTATGATTTTCTCCTATTCTCAATGACAAAAACATACTGTGTTCACAGCCTCGATGCCAAAGAGGTGCAGCGAATGGGATTTCTTTGACTGCTATGTCTCTATTTAAAGCAATTGGTCCAGCAGCAGGAGGTGCCATGTAAGTGCACTTTTAATTATTTCCCCTCTTTCGCAGTTTGCTAATAAATATTTAAAGAACATATAGTTACGAATACTCACTGCAGTTGATGGAACATGCATTGTATGAGTGTGAACTAGCAAATTTGCCATTACTTACCCAAAAAAACAAGAACTAGCAAATTTGCCATTAGAAATAGAATTCTAATTCTCTCATGTATTGTCCAATCTTAACAGATTTTCTTGGGCCCAAAAGCGTCAGCATGCTTCCTTCCTCCCAGGTATGAATTTCTTCAACTTTGATGCGCATAGGTTTTGGTAATGTCAAGTAACTATCGTTCATGAGGTTGATGACATTCATTTTAGTGAGGTTAGTGGTGTAGAGTTCTTCTTGTGAAACCTTACGGTCATGGTTTGCACCCCAAACTTGCACTAGCGAGATATGATGGTTACTTCCAGATACATCGAGTTTGATCATTCTACTCAGTAAATTGGCAATTTGAGATAGTAAAATTCATGGACTAGTTTCAAGAAAAGAATATGATAAAGAATATGATAATTTTAATTTGACTCTGGTTTATTATGAGGAAACCAAGTCAAGCTCTAGTATGGGCAAGGGTGTTTTCGTCTTCTTTTTTTTTCTTTTCTTTTTTTCTTTCTTTCTTTCTTTTATGCTCTAGTATGGGCAAGGGTGTTTTTATTTTCTTTCTTTTGGTGTGGGAGGCGGGGGGAAGGGGGGGGGGGGGGGGGGTGGATGTGTTTCTGCAGTAGGATTTGAATGTGGGATGTTGTGTTGCGATGTGAACACTTTAACCATTCAAGCCCAAGCTCAAATCTCATGTTAGCAAGTTAGTTTTCCCACTTCACTTTTTTTTGCTTTTAGAAAAAGAAAACAGCTCGGGAAAACCTGAAAATTTGAAGAGGGAAATTTGCTGGAAAGAACTACCGAAGTGGTAACTCAAAAAGGAAAATAGAAGGCTCATAACAGAGGGCACAAAGCATAATGAAAAACATAATCTCAGTTTGAACATCTCATTAGAGGTTGGAATCTTTAGGAAGGCCTTTAATTGTGCATGCTCTCGCTGAATTCCCACGTTTGTTTTAGCTCTGTAATCATTCTAACACCCTCATTTTGTTTTATTGATCATGCTCCCTTTTTATTGACATTTGTTCTGTTCCTACTAATCCCTTTCCAATTCTTTATGAATATGCAGGGGATTCAATGGTTTTCTTTTTTTTGTGTTTGCTGGTGCTTTTGCTAGTAATCTTGACATATGAGCCTTTTCTACCGAAATCATGCGCTAAGCCCTATGACGAGATAGAAAGAGAAAATGTGAAAACAGTTGGTTGATTGAAGCATTGCCTAGTATAATTATTATAAAGTATTGGTTTGTTATCAATTTATAGCACAATCGATAACTCGCCTATAAGCGGCATGTAATTTTGTATTGTGTAAACTAGAGGGATTGTATTCCAACTCAGAGATGTTGCATACTAATGAATGATGCCATTTCAGTAGTTGCCTGCCTTTAGATTATTCTTCAGTAGCTCTCTTAATAATCGATCTTCACTGATAGTTAATTCTCCCTTAATAAGAATGACCTAGTACTCTCTCTCTCGCACACACGCACGCTCACACACATGCACGAGGCAAGATGAATGAGGATGGGTCTTCTTATTACTGGAATAGTCCCCATCATATTGATGAACTTTATCTGCAGCTTATCAAATTGTAAAACCTTTTATTGAGATGTTACTGGCCCCATGTACACAGCGATATGTTTTCTGACAGGGGAATGAACTTATGGCAATGGAGGATATGTTTTCTGGAAGGGGAATGAGCTTATGGCAATGGAGGAGCTCAAGGACTCAATCCGTGAATTACTTAATAGTTATGAATTGTCTGAATTGCTCTCCCCCTATGGTTCGGTGGTATCTCCCAGTAATAGTAGTAGAGACGAGAAAATAGTTAAGATACGACGGTCAAGAAATATCAACAAGATCAGTATTTTTTATATCTTGAGTCGATAATTCAGGAAAATTGTGAGATTGAAGAAAATGTCGCACATAAAATTAGAGTCGGGTGGATGAGGTAGAGATGTGCAATCGGAATTTTCGATGACCGTCGCATACTCTAGGATAGTTGTGAGATTAGTTTTGCTTTATAGGGCTAAATGTTGGGTGGTCAAAAAACAACATACCCATAGGACGAGTGTAGTCGAGATAAAGATGTTGAGATAGATGAGTGGCAAGACGTTAAGTGATACAATTCGAAATGAATACATTTAAGAGAACTTAGTAGAGTTAGGTGGGTTGGTCATGTGTACTGTAGACCTGGTATGATACCTGTTATTTGGTGCTAGATGGTTTAAGTAGAATGTTAAAAAAAAGTAAACGTAGGCCCAAAAGGACATATTTGAAAGTAGTGAGAAAAGATATGGTGAGTTATAGCTTCGTCTTTGATACAGCAGACCGATCAGGATTTGTGTAGTTAACCCCAATAGTTGGAAAAAGCCTATAATGATGATGTGCAAGGTTTGTAGGACATTTGTGTTTGTAGGACATTTGCCTTAGTGGTTGTAATTGGTTTGTAGGACATTTGTGTTTGTAGGACATTTGCCTTTGTGGTTGTAATTGTTAGTTAAGGGACTCGGTAATGTTCACTGGTCTTCTATTTGAGATTGAGCTTTGACATTATTGCAGGTTGGGGAGCATTATTTTGATATCGTCGACTGACACACCAGAACATCTCGTCACAGTCTACCGTGGAAACAATGCACAAATGTGGCTTTGTTCCTCTTCGGTATGTTCTTGAGGGTTGGGACCATGAGGAGGTGGCTTTTGACATGAAGACTGGGATGACCTAGACAGCTTAACATCTTTGCATTTTCCATGCTCTAGCGCTAGGAAGCAGTGAGGATTGGGAGGGTGAAACATCTGTTGGCCTGATTCAATTATTGTTGCTGGTGGTCGAGAACAGTGTTGGAATGTTGGCCTGATTCAATTGTTGTTGCTGGTGGTCGAGAACAGTGTTGGAAAGTGGTCCAGGCCCGAGCTGATTACTCGGGTTGACTCCCAGTAACTCGACCCGATTAGCGCCGAGTACTTTAGCAGCAAAAAAATGTAAAAACGTAATAAAAAATATCAAAAAAATAGGAAATGTAAGTTTAAAGTAAGATTAAGCAAAGTACTGTAGCAGCGAAAAATGTAAAAAAGTAATAAAAAAATATCAAAAAAATAGGAAATGTAAGTTTAAAGTAAGATTAAGCAAAACAAAAAGTAATAAAAAATATAAAAACAATAGGAAATGTAAGTTAAAAGTAAGATTAAGCAAAGTACTGTAGCAGAAAAAAATGTAAAAAAGTAATAAAAAAATATCAAAAAAACAGGAAATGTAAGTTTAAAGTAAGATTAAGCAAAACACTTAGAAACAGTAATTTAAAAATTTAAAAATCGGCGAGTACAGTAATTTAAAAATTTAAAAATCGGCGAGTCGCAACGGATTCGTTCGAGGGGCACGAAAATCGGTAATCCTGTGCCGATTACATCGTAAAACTGAAAACCGCCCGGTTACATGATCAATGCCGTTCTTTAGTCACACATGGCCACACATGGCAAGCCTTAGACACCACAGCATCGTAGCCACGCGTTTACACATGTACATTTAAAGTAGTCCATCGAAACTATTTATACAACAAACTTTTATACTCATTCTTGGATGTGGGATAATACTTACAATGCGCATTAAATTAAAATAGATATCGAATAAGTATTATTAATATGAAAAGTTAATACACTTGTAACAACGTGGCTTTATGGTCATTGCTTCTTCTTAGTTGATGGACACCTCAGGTTCAAACCCCGTGGGTGCTTCACATCATTTTATTTTTATTGTAAAAAAAATAAAAAATATTATATTTATATTGTAAAAAATCATTTTATTTTTATGGTAAAAAAAATAAAAATTTTTTTATTTTTGTTGTAAAAATAATAATTTTTGTTGTAAAAAAAATAAAAAATAAGCAAAAAATAATGTTGTTAAAAAAAAAAAAAATTTGTTCTAGAATCTAAAAAATTAAAATTTTGAAAAATGAAAATGCTGTTTTAAAAATCGGTACGCATTCAAATAATTTTTATATTGACAATTAAATTTTTATTTTATTTATTAATTTTTACATTATAAATCATGTAATATACTATTTTTGTTGTGAAAAAAATAAAAAATAAACAGAAAATAATGTATTTAAAAATAAAATTATTCCATTTGAAATTCTATCTTTCTATTAACAATCTTTTTTATTAAATTTATTCTAGAATCTAAAAAATTAAAATTTTGAAAAATTAAAGTGTTATTTCAAAAATTGATATGCATTCAAATAATTTCTATATTGATAATCAAAATTTTATTTTATTTATTAATTTTTGCATTATAAATCATATAATGTACTATTTTTCTTACAGTTGTCAATAATATATTTTAAATTAGATCATATTATAAAATATTTTGGATTTGTTAATGTTTGTATAATAAAATAATTATAATATGTTAACCAATAATTTTAATTTCAGTATATAATATTATAGTTAGTTAGGTTGTAATAATTTTGGATTATAATTAGGTTGTAATAATTTGGGTTTTGTTAGCGGATTAGGGTTTTTTGCTAATTCGAAATTTTAGTGGTCATTTTTTCATCGATTTAGTCTACTCCTTGTTGTAGTCTATGTATGATTGATATACTTTATCCTTGATAATTCTATGATTTTTCTCTTGTGCGATGTAAATTTAATGGTTAACATAAGTTTATACAGGATAAGAACGTCTCAATATTCACAAATTGATGAAAAAAATAAAAGTTAACAATGTAGTACCCTCGTTTCTTATTGGATTCTTAAAATATAACATTTATAATGAATTTTAATAATTTTTTTGAATTTTTTTAAAGCTTAATCCAACCGAGTAGGACGATTCTCGATTCGGATCGTCGATTCACCGATCCGGATGGGTTTTTGGAGTGCCCGATCAGGGGTACCGATCCGTTTTTTAAACCACTAGTTCAAAATGATGTTAAAAAAATATTTAAAAAATAGATCTTACAAAATCAATGGCGGGGGTATTTTTTAAAGGGAAAAGTTTATATAGAGCCTAGGCTCTAAACAATCAAACGAGTCTACCTCAAAATTTTTACTAGAAGATGTAATACCCAAATATCATCAAATTGATTCTTGACATCAAGATGCATGGACATGAGAAAAAAAATGGATGTCAAGTTTTGGAAATAATGTATCTTGTAACGCATTTTTTGACCGTCAATTTTCAAGTTTTCATAGATCTACTCGATCTACACTACTTTTGAAGTTTTAATTTTTATAATTAAAGATGAAAATATATTTTAAGGTTATTACAAAATTTTCCAATATTAAAACCCTATTTCTTGACACTATTTGAAGATGGGCTCAAATGTGATTGTTTAGAGCCTCGGCTCTATACAAACCGTACTTTTTTTTAAATAATCCAAAAAAATGGGAAAGTGTAAAAATAAGTATTTATACCTAAAACATTTTTCAATCTATGTCAAAATGATAGAAAACATAAAAAAAAAAGAAAAAAAAACATAGCTCGGCCGATTTTTCAATCACTAGTCGAGAAATTACGCAACTTAGGAGATCGGGGTAGAGCTTCTTAAAATGTGGAACATGTGAAACAACTAGATCATGTTCACTTCTCATGGAGCGATGGCTTTGTTGAGACCTGACCCGATAAGGCCTCTGCCCCATATGGTGATCTCCTCGACAGTCAGCATAGCTGAAAGTGATCTTTTCTTTCTTGGGGTATAACATTATTTGAATCAGGTATACATGGACTCGGAAACCGGATCTGAATAGTGTTCAGTCCAACCAAGACCCGACCTGCCAGATCCATTGCCACCCCTACGTTAAAAAAAACACAATATTTCCACAACATCTTTCATGGAACTTTTCTTCTGCCTTATAAATTATGTTATGATTTCACTGCGAGTAGTTTATGCAGTACAAACTATATTGAAAACTCAAAACCTATTTTCTTTAATTAGATTTAAAACTTACTTGTAGAAGTATCCAACGGGTTATATTCCCAAATTTTGTGTTTCTAAGCAGTCTTAAAATAGAATTTTATCAATAAGCAAATAGGATGTAATGGGTTTTTAAGTGTTTTAGTCTGTTTTTTAGATACTAAAATTTATGTTTAGCATTATTTTAAGTTTCTAGTTTTTTTTAGAGCATTTATGTCTTCTTTTTCATTGTAGAGAATTGGGGGGTAGAACTTGAATTTTAATTCGTAAAAGTGAAGGGCTAGGTTTAATAGTGATTATCGTAGGGAGCAAGTTCGGTTTATAATTATGTAACTGTTGGACTTTCAATAGAAGAGGAAATAAACCAATAGAAGAGGAAATAAAAATAATTGACATACGAAGAGATCTTTTGGAGTGAACTCACTTGCAGACCTTGATCGACGGTATATCTCTCAATATTTATTTTTATCTTTTATTTTTAAAATTTATTTTTTTCCTCCCTCCTTCCTGCATTAATTGTATTAGAGTATTAGAATATCTAATTTATCACAATGACATCAAAATCCGCTCTCATGATCAAGGATATATTGCCATGAATCATGGAGAGTGTGAAACAACAAATTAAAGTGCGCAAAGTAAAGCCATCGAAGGTATTCGAGATCATCAAGGAGAGACCGGTGAAGTTGTTAAAGCAATTAGAAATTATTAATCGGCAAGAAGAGGAAGATTTGGTATCGAGGTTTACCCTATGGATGAATAATGTTCTACAATCAACTTTGGATGTCAATTCTATATATAATGAGCAAATTTTGATGCAAAAAATACAACCTGAGAAATATCCACCATCCAGAGCTCTACGAGGAGCTCGAAAGAGAATTCAAGACTCTACTTGACATCCAAATGCTCCACTAAATGTTGCACGCCAAGTCTTTAGTTAATTGGTTGATTGAAGAAACTAATGGTGGGTGCACCAATTATTCCAAGGGATGAGATGAACACAATAAATTTGAGATTAAGCTTTTTTCCAATACCTGAAGAATGATGTAATCGATATTTATTTATTTATTTATTATTTCACTATTTTTTTAGATATTAAACAATGTTTTAAAAAACAGTCCGCCTGACGCCTACGCGGCCTAGACAAAAAATTCATCCGCCTAGGCCCAAGTGGCCCTACACGAACGGATGTACCTGGGCGGTTGCCGAAGCGAGTGCCCAAGGCGGATGTCCCTGGGTGGGCGCCCAGGTGGGCATCTAGGCGGGCGTCCAGGTGGACTAGGAGTTTCTCGTTTTTTTAAAACTATGGGGCGCCCGAGGTTCTGGGCCCCCGCCTAGGTGCTGGGCGTCAGGCAGGCTGCCTAGCATTTTTTGAAACCTTGATATTAAAATTGATATTTGCCATTGTTTTGGACTTCTAATTTTTATCTTTTTTTTTTCTTTTATTGTAGAGAATTAGAGGGTAAAACTGGTAGTTTAATTCATAAAAAATGTAGGGATATGATTTAATAGTGATTAGGTTTTATTGAGGTGCAAGTTAGGTTTTTATTCTAGGAAATTTACAAATAAATTCTATTTTATTTTTGAAAATGCACAGTAGTTTGGTAATGTGAATTTATTTTAGATTATTTCTTTGACGTTTTTTCTAGGTATATAATAGTGAGATGTATGGACATCTCGAAGATAAGAGATGATATATTCTCTCACTATTTATTTTTGCTTTTTATTTTTCTCTCTCTTTGCTATGATATTCTTGTATCAAACAAAAATAGTCTTATTATAACTTTTTTCAAGTTTAATAATTTAAAAAAAGCTAGATACTCATATTACATTGGGAATTTCTTACAACAGAATTGTATTTCTTCCCAAGTATTTAAAGCATGGCCAATAATGTAGGGGATTGTCTACAAAAGGACTATTTATCTTTGGAAAAAGTTTATATGGAGTCGAGGCTCTAAACAATCAAATTAGAGCCCACTTGAAAAATTTTACTAGAAGAGGTTATTTTGATGCCCAAATATCCTCAAATTGATCATCTCGTCATCAAGATGCATGGAGATGAGAAAAAAAATGGATTTAAAGATTTGGAAAAAGTGCATCTTCTAACGCATTTTTTGACTGTCAATTTTCAATAGTTTCTAGTGTTCATAAATCTGTTCGATCTACACTAATTTTGAAGCTTAAAATTTTATAATTAAAAATTAAAATATATTTTAAGGCTATCACAAAGATTTCCAATATTGAAACTACATTTCTTGATACTATTTGAAGGTGGGCTATAATTTGATTATTTAGATCCTCGACTCTATATAAACCACACATTTTATCTTTTGTATAGAGAAGACACAATCATTCTTGTCCCTTAAATTTCAAAATGAGTGGTTGTAAAAGTGTCACTAAATACACACAAAGTTAAAATAATAATAATAATATATCAGACTTGGTAACTCAACCCAAGCCATATAATTTGACATCTAATGAGAGGGAATGATTGTAACCTTTTTATATATAAAAGATAAATAGTATTTTTTTAAAATAATCCCATAATATATAATAGAAAAAGATTACATACTAGCTGACATAGCTATGCTTAATGAAAATTTTGGAGGGAAAGAGAAACTATTTTTATGATAAAATTTCAAAGAAATTTTTTATGAAAAAAGTTTATATAAAGTTGCAACTTTAAAATGTAGAATTACAAAAGCACTTCAAAAATCCATTAAAAAAAGTTGTTTTAATATCGAAAAAACCTCTAATTGATGACCTTGACATTAAGATGTATGAATAGGACGAAAAAAAGATTTCGAGTCCCATAGATTGTGAATCTCGTAATATATTATCTACACTATCTATTTTCAAGATTTTTATAGGTTCATAAATCTACTGGATTTTAAACATTTTGAGAGTTGAAAAATTTATAATTAAATATAAAAATAGGTATAATCTTAAGAAATTTTTTCATTAAAATTACTGATAAAATTTAGAGGTACAACCTTATAAAAACCACATCTTTTTTTTTTATGAGTAATGATCCTCGGAAAACCTTTTACACTCATATGAGTAGGATTTCAAAAGTTGTTAAATAGATAAAATCTTTTTACACTCATGCGTGTAAAATTTCAAAAATTATTATATAAATAAAATTTGATTTTTTAAAAAAATGTGTCAAAATTCAACGACGATCTTTTACGCCCATTCGGTGAGGTAGGTCTCGTAGGATCATTACTCTTTCTTATTAATGCGAAATTATTCCCGCATGGACACAACAACTTGCCCTAATTTTTTTTTTAATTACATTTGCTCTCTTCAAGCGCCCCCTTATCCAGTCATTTTTGTGCACTCTCGTGTTAACGCACACCCCCCTCTCTCCTAGTTTCTTCTGCGACTACTAGGGAAAGCTCATCAATGGCGGAATGAATTGTTTGAATCAATCGCATACCATCCATTAGAGCCTCTCTCATGGCTCTTCAGTTACTCCCCTCGCCTCTCCAGAGAGACCCCATTTCAAATATATCATCCATAGATCTTTCTCCTTTAAAACCCACCCAAAAACCATTTTATCTGTCTACCCATCCATCTCTCTCTTCTTCCTCTTGCTCTCTCTCTGACCTATCATTCTCCTCCTCCCTCTCTCCTCTCCCCCTGCAATTCCCCACCAAGAGCCTCAAACCCAACTCCCCATTTCTTCGTTTTCCCATAAACGCTGTTGCTGTAAATCCCCAAGAACTTCCCAGGAGTAGTCCTAAAAGGCTTCTAAAAGAGCTCGAAGAGAGGAAGAAAACAGTTATTCCAAAGAAGAAAATACCCCCAAAACGATACATTTTAAAACCACCACTCGATGACCAGAGGCTTACTGCTAGGTTCTTAAATAGTCCTCAATTATCTCTCAAAGCTTTCCCTCTCTTAAGTTCTTGCTTACCCTCTAATCGCCTCAACAATGCCGATAAACAGTGGATTGATGAATATCTATTAGAAGCAAAACAGGCACTTGGGTACCCATTAGAGCCTTCTGAGGAATTGGGGGATGATAATCCGGCAAAGCAATTCGACACTCTTCTTTATTTGGCGTTTCAACACCCCTCAGGTGATCGAACAAATGCTAGGCATGTTCGGTCGGGCCATTCAAGGCTCTGGTTTTTGGGGCAATATGTCCTTGAGCTTGCTTTTGCTGAGTTCTTTTTGCAAAGGTACCCGAGAGAATCTCCGGCTTCAATTAGAGAGAGAGTGTTTGGGTTCATTGGGAAGAGGAATTTGACAAGGTGGATCAAAGCCGCCAGCTTGCAGAATTTGATATTTCCTTATGATGATATCGATAGGATGCTAAGGAAGGAGAGGGAACCCCCTGTCAAGTAAGCACATTTATCTCTTTGTGCTTGTACATTTGGAGATTTTCTTGATTTCTTTTGTCTGGATTTGTGTCTCCTGTTATTATATATCACGAGTTTGTGTTAATCATTTTTCTTTGATACCAATTATAGGCATATGTGTGAACTAACCTGTCTTTTTCCTCTATTTAGGTGTTTAGAACTTATTTATGGTTGATTTATGTGTGAAACTATGAATTGGCATGTCTCCCATCTGTTGGTGTAATTCTTCATTTCTTATCATGGGAACAAGCTAAGAAATTCCTAACTTATAGAAACATTATATTTGATAAGAAACTAAGAAAATTCACATTCACAAGTAAATCCATGTTTGAGTGGACATAGAACAATGGAGTGAAGGTGTTCGCTATGAAAATTCCACTAATTTCAGAAGTTATGCACAAACCTTCTGCAACAAACTAAGGAAATCCACTATTAGATGTATGACAATGAATCCTTGGAAACCAATGACTTGAAGGGAGTGATTTAGAAGTTTCTCTGACAAGTCCATGGTAACTGACTCCTTATTTGAAGGTCTTTAGGAAATTGGTTCGTACAAGCAGTTTCTATATTTTGTTTCCTTGACTTCTTTACCTTGTGATTATCCATTATGTACTTGTGTGGATTGTCATCATCATAGCCTGCTCCAATTAATTGGGGTCGGCTACACAAATCCCGTCCGTCATTCTGCTCTATTAAAGGCCATACCCTCAGTGAGGTCGTAAGTCCCCATATATTTTTGGACTACTTCCAACCACGTCCTTTTGGGCTTACCCCTTGCCCTTTTTAGTCTTTCCACTTGAACGAACTTGCACCTCTTAATAGGTGTTGTGCTTGGTCGGCGCCACACATGGTTAGCCCACCTAAGTCTTCTCTCTCATCTTATCGCCTATTGGTACTGCACTTAAATTCTCCCTAATGGATTGTTTCAATTCTATCCTTTTTTGTCTTGCCACTCATCCATCTCAACATCCTCATCTCCGCTATTCTCATTCTACAGGTATATTTTTTGTCCGCCCAACATTTCGCCCCATAGAGCAAAGCTGGTCTCACAGCTGTCCTATAGAATTTGCCCTTCAGCTTCATTGATATGCGGCCATCACATAAAATTCCAGTTGTACATCTCCACTCTGCCCAGGCAGCTCTAATTCTATTTGCGAAATCTTCTTCAATCTCTCCATTTTCCTAGATTATCGACCCCAGATATCAAAACTATCCAAACCTTTTTCTATTAAATTATCCAGATATTTATGACTATTTATTTATCTTAGTAAATGTCCATTGCATAGCTACCTTTTTTGGAACCTCATATACTACATGATATCTTTATAACATGAATTATAAATGCTAGCCATGTGTTACCTCATGTTACTGTTTCACAATTCATGTGAAGTCCTGTCCTCTATTGGTTGAAATGTAGTCTTTGTATACCATTCATTGGATTTGTTGGCTGGCTGAGTGCACATCCACATGGGTGGCAATTAGAAACCATGGACCCAAGACCCGACCTGGGTCTAGATATGGATCCAAGATTTGGAGCCGACGGCTGAGGACCCGAATTTTATTAACTTATTTTAAATATATATACAGTATATTTCATCATCATCGTCAAAGCCTTTTCTCAACTAATTAGGGATTTTGGGTGGGGTTCGGGTCCCTTATAAACAATTTGGGTCCGGGTCTAGATCTGGGGACTTTGGACATGGTTGGTTTTAGGGCCCGCTAGTTTATTTCGGGTCAGGACGAACCCGGATCCAACCCGATCTATTGCCACCCCAACATATCCATAGCCTTTCACCAACTTCAGAGGACATAACTGGTATTGCAACTTAAGCTTATCCCTAGATGATCTCCATCCGTCTGCAGTTTGCTAGCATCTCCTCAAATTTCTAATGTTAACGAGTGATAATTGAGTTTCCTTATTGTCAACAAGGTAGAATTTTCAGGTACTCATACAAAAATAAAACAAGGGACAGTTGCTATGCATTGGTCACTGTCCTATAAAATCCCTATGAAGCATGTAAGGAACAAGAATTGGTTGAAATATAAACTACCTTGGTGAAATAGTGAAGGTTCAAATTTAGGTGTAATTTAAGTGAACTTGGATAAAAAGTAAGAACTGGCTCTGACCAAATGAAACCTATTTTTGAATAGTTTGAGTTCTTTGCAAAGATTTTTAAACTTTTTTGGAAACCTTGAAATTTCCAAATTCCTCGAAGCATCACCTTATAAGCATGCATACAACACCCCAAAGCAACACATGTAAACTTTAACATTCAAGGATGGGCTGGGTCCCAATGCAAAAATTAGTATAGCATTAATAGACACCACTCTATATATTTAAATGGCAATTCAAAGATAAAAGCATGAAGGAAAAAAATAAATTAAAAAGCAGTGAAAGGAACTGATACTATCATATTGTCATTATGGGCTTATGAGCGAGGTTCTCGAACTTCGGCCAAACCCAAGTTCTAAAATTTCAGTCTCTCAAATCCAAAAAAAATGAGTTTTTTTTTCTCAAATGTTATAAATTCAATGGATAGATGATGCAAAATTGACTCCGACCAAGAGTTGAGGAGAAATGACCAAAAAAGGGTTCAGTTCTTGCCCCTCCTTTGAAATTAGAAAATTCTTTTGGACTAGGCGAGTTATGACAAACTTGGCAAGTCTATCAAAAATTTACTAAGTCTCCGACAACACGACCGATTAGTAAAAGCAAGTTTGGTAAGTGAATAGTACTCGTATTTGAGTAGGCGTTTTAGTGACTTGGGCAAATCTGAGTGGTTTCACCTGAGTTTTCCAACACTGCACAAAAGTATCTGCAGCAACTCATCAATCTGAATATTCCACAAAGGAGGGTATTAGGTCTTCGATGAAATCTGATACAACTTGATTGAATGAAATAAAATGATAGAAAAGACCTGTAGGCCAATACCAATAATCGTGTTATAGTAAATAAAACGAAGGATCACAAGAGAGAAAAATGTAAACGTCATGCAATTTAACCATGACATTTTTCACTACCCAAGTGTTTCTAGGGGTAATGCTATATCTTGAAAGAGTAATATAGTACGAGAAAAAACTAGCAAATATCAAAGCATCTTTTGTTCCCTAATAGAAAAGACAGTCAAAATGGGGGTGACATGTAGATGTGTCAAGAAAGGCTGGCTTGTGAAGAGGCTTAGCTTGGCTCGTGATGTACCTAGCTTGACAATGTGATTGGCTCCACAAGCAGTGCCAAGCCAAGCCACGCTATGCTTGCTAGCTTGTTTGTTAAACACCCCAAGTCCAAAGTTGAGCCATACTCGTCGTGCGTGTGCGTATAAAACTTTAACATCTATTGATTTCAACTCATCGTCATCATCCGAGCCCTACCCCAACTATTGATGTCATTATTTATTGATCTCAACTTATCCGACTCCAAATAGTAGATGAGGCTTGTTTAAGTAAACGAGTCGAGCCAAGCCAAAATCAAGCTTATCACCCTTTAATCAAGACACCCTCTACCCATTTGGGCTTAGCGCGAACACATACATGCTTGGCTCAGCTCAGACAGCTTTTTGACGCCCTCAATAACAGGTCAGCTGCAAGCGAGTCACGCAGGCAAACCATAGTTCTCAGTCCATAAGCAGCATAAAACCCAGGAATGTCTAGAGGGTAATTTGTGCATACTATGGACTGTTCATGACTAAATTGCATGGTGTTTACGTTTTCTGTATTTCTACTATGTGATCCTTGACCATTTTCATTGTAGTTAAAGCAGTGTTACTGCTTTATAAACCTCTACTGTGGTCTTTAACCAAGCCTTGGTGGTCTCGATTAAGTCTTGATTCACACCTTTATGCGAGTTTCAAGCATATGAGTGGTATAGATTGGGAGTGCAAGACTCAATTTTAATGATAATAAGTTCGCATTAAAGTGGCCTCTTTTGACCTTTGTTTTTAGATTTAGATTCTCTGTACTTTTATTTTAGTAGCAAAATTTTTTGTTGATTATAAAAAAGAAAATTAAAATGGTCAATTCATATCTCAACAACTTAATATAGGATTACCGGATCAGTCAGACTAGCTCCTTTCATCTGGTCATTTTCAGAATTTTAGGGTTTTTTTTTCCTCATGCAGTTTTTTTTTTTGCATTGTGATGTTACTAGCTTATAGAGTTGTGTCTGCTATTTATATAGTAATTTTTGAGGGGCTACAATTATTATTTTTACAGTAACCTGCCCCTTCCATGGGTGTTGGAAACTATTGAGGTTGTTGTTGGTGCTTTGTATGCTTGCTCATTGTATCATGCTGTAAGGAATTCGAAATTTAGGGTTTCTAATATTTTTTTTTTTAAGAGAAACCTTGGAGTTTCTAAAAATTTTACAATCTTTGCTAAGTACTTAAATTTATTCAGATGCTGGTTTTATTTGGTCAGAAGTAGTAACCAGTCGCTATTTTAATCCATGTTCCCTTCAATCTCAATCTTCTTGAGAAAAAGGAAAAAGTCAAATGTGGCAATAATCAGCCAAATTTGTTTTGATTTCAGCCAATTTTATTCGAGTACTTGTTTAATGGGATTCAGTGGGAAATTTAGCAACGTAAGTAATTAGTTCAATTTTAGTTTTCATGTAAATTATTGTGTTTTTTTTTTTTTCAGAATGAACATATACGAGACTAGATGATATTAAACTCCAATTTGCTAGTACCTCATCAACTTGCTGTAATGCACCCCAAATGGCCAAATTTACTAGACAATATGATATTAAACTACAATTTGCTAGTACCTCCTCAACTTGCTGTAATGCACGCCCAATGGCCAATTTTGGCATCAGACGGTTGTGGAGGTGCTAGAGGCTGTAGAATGCCCAAATGTGAGCATTTTATACAAGTCCTTGACAAAATATTGTTCAGGGATACTTGCCCAAATGATCGTGCTAACTTGGAAATTATCCATTCACATGATCAAGTCACCTTTCAAAAGCCATAATTTTGCTACCTTACATGTGAATGGATGTAAGGTAGCACAATTATGCATATAAGGGCTTTGAGTGAATATTGATATGGATATGCATGTAGTGTAAGGTAGAAAAATTATGCATTCAAAAGCCATAATTTTGTTACCTCTTAATTCATGTGAGGATATGGATATGCATATAGTGATCCATCAAATCTAATAGAGGACCATGATCATAAGGGCTTTGAGTGAATTGTGAAATGCTTTTCACCTTCCATCTACAGTTAAATGAAAATTTCCCCTTGGCTTTTATTTTCTTCTGTTCTGCTGTTACCTCTTAATTCATGTGAGGATACGGATATGCATATAGTGATCCATCAAATCTAATAAGGGACCATGATATAAGGGCTTTGAGTGGATTGTGAAAACTAAGGGAATTATTAATTGTTGTCTTTTATATTAATTGTGTGTGGGAGTGAGTGAGTGAGTGAGTGTGTGTGTGTGTGTGTGAGAGAGAGAGAGAGAGAGAGAGAGAGAGGAGGGAGGGAGGGAGGGAGGGAGGGAGGGAGGAGAGAGAGAGAGAGAGAGAGAGAG